CTGCCTCACTACATGTAGCTGGAAGAAATCAATTTCAAAACCAGAATTTTCCAAGATACCAGTTTTCAGCCATGGTATATTAATAATGTAAAAATGCATATTGATATATTAATTAAAGGTGATTTTTATTTTGTAATCTTATCACAATTTAGTCATTATTGTTTTCAATGGAACCGATAAGCATCAAAGGTCGATTTATGCATGATTTTTAGATTAAAAATCAAATATAATGATTATCATGATTTTTTGAAAAAAAGTCATCTATTTCAAACTTTACTTTTTTCCAAGGACCAAGAGATATTTTTGGTAAGGTTACCAAAAGTCGCAGTCGGTCTAATGAGAACACGTTTTATATTGTCAATAACCATTTTTTGCATTTATTTATTCATTTTCTCTACATTTTATCATTTCGGACTCCATTTCAAATCCTACTCTCGGGTCTGATGCATCTCTAATGATGATGTTTTATATCTTCTCTTAATTTCATTGTGTTGTTTGTAATCCTGTTCAAATTTGAAATTGTACATTTTTTTCAATCGGGGTTTACTCATTTTTTATTTTTCATTTGTAACGCCTTTGAACCAGAATTTTTCTAATGTTTCATAGCCTAATTTTTTTCTCGCTACTTTTTGTTGATATAAATTTGAATCTCTTTATTTCTCGCTTTGATGTCTACTATTTTCTCCGTTGCTCTGTGATTTCTTTGCTCTACCATCTTATCCATCTGCTGTTTTTCATTTTCTATGACTTATTGTATACAGTTTTCTTAAAATGACTAGGCAGACTTTCTTCTCTATGTTATTCTGATAATTGAAACTCTGTTAAGAAATAACTATTATTTTATAACATCTTTGTTTTTAAGTTAACGTATGATCACTTAGAAGTGATATTATGATATTTTTATGTGTGGCCACCATCATATTGATATCATCAATAAAGTTGCTTAGACAAGGCATATCCTTTGATCTGGATCATATTTTTGTTTGTAACTTTACAGTTATGAATGTTACCCCCTTATATACCCTTATTTTCAACCGAGTTACACCAATCCCCTATTCGGATTTACTGCAGTATATTGGCCGATAAATGAGTTTGCTATAAGAATTGCCTACAAACCAAAGTATCATGTGTTGCGGTACACACGATCAAACTTTAAGGCTGATAAAAATTTTGTGATATTTTTAAAAAGTAAAAATAATACATTTGATACTTTTTCGAAGAGCATCTCTCTCTCGTCGCCAACAAGTTCAATGTTTTCAGTTATTTTTGTCTCAAAATATTGTCTTTGTTGAACATTGTTGTAATATTGACTCCACTATCGATCGAATAGCAACGAAATAATTTAACAAAATAACGCGAATTATTGTGTAAATATAAATAAACCGCGTTGAACGTGAATGCAGGAAATGAATTCACTGATAGTGAATGCTTATCATACACCAAAATTACCACACGCTTGACGATAATTTCAAATCCAGAGGGGGAAAATTTGCTACAAACTCGTCCATTGGTGGATGATTCATCATTTACGTGGCATATTGTGTGAAGCGGTATCGAATTTCTGAAAATATTAGAATGATTATATCTTGTTAAATAGGTATCTGAATTTAATTAATTAATGTGAGGTTGGGTCTCGTTGACTTTGCCGAGGGGAGATACCCCTAATCTGTCTATATACAGGCACTTAGAAACTATTACATGAGAAATGTTTTTCTTTTTTTATGAATACTGTTTCTACAGTGTGTATTGACATGTCTGAAACTTAAATAGTTACACAATTTTTTGACATTATATCAGTAGGCAGTTTGCTCACAAATAATTTATTGAGATTTTTCGGGGGGGATGAATTGGTATTAAACTAAAAACCCTTACAACTTCGTGAGGGTTGAAACGAGACATACCTAAGCATCGGAGGTCGTGAAATCATTGTACTATTGGAGGTGAAGTGGGAGGGAGCGATCAGCTTTATTTCAATAATTTTTTAGGATAAATGCGTACACGTTTCACTCATATTGCAAACTTGTAGCTGTTAGTACGAGATGCGGATACTTATTTCTGCAGATACAGTGTGTCTCACTTCTCATGGATACACCCCCGTATCTTCCGTAATATTCGAGGTAGAACGATGAAACTCCCAGGACTGATGGAAATGCTCAAAATGCACCTACCACATTAATGGGGTTGGCCAAAGTGATATACACTGTCCGCCACTCGCGATGGAACACACCATTTTTACGGTAAAACATATTAGGGGGCAAAATAGGCTCAAAATTCCTTCAGATTCGTGATCAGGACTACCAACTTATTACGATTACACTTTTTTCCTAAAAAAATTTCAGTTGTAATCGTAATAAGTTGGTAGTCCTGATCACGAATCTGAAGGAATTTTGAGCCTATTTTGCCCCCTAATATGTTTTACCGTAAAAATGGGGTGTACCATCGCGAGTGGCGGACAGTGTATATCACTTTGGCCAACCCCATTAATGTGGTAGGTGCATTTTGAGCATTTCCATCAGTCCAGAGAGTTTCATCGTTCTACCTTGAATATTACGGAAGATACGGGGGTGTATATGTATGAAAAATAAAATTGGACTTAAGTGTATAAAGATACATAAGAATGTGAGATATTGCTGCCGGGTTGCCTACGAAACTTCAGTTGTTGTTTCAATTTTGTCTAATTTTTGAGCAATTCAATAGGTAGGTATATATTAAAAGAATGAATCCAAAGTGAAACAAATTACGGTAAAAATTGAAACAAAAATGGTTGCCGGGTCTCGATTCGTCGATATCTGCGGGTTACAGCAATGTATTAACACTTATCAAGCATCTTTCATGCTTTATAGATTGAATTGAAACATCTGGCGTGAAAATTATTAATGAAAACACTGTTCCTACACCACAACCAAAGCACTATCTAATACCTGTGAATATAAGCCTTCCAGCTACCCGAAAAACTGTTCCGGTCGGGCATCTCATTTTTTTGTTACTTGGGAGCCGTCTTACTTGCCCATTGTTTGGATGACTTCGTTATTTTTTTTATATTTTCGTGATCTTCATTTCAACTCCTGTTCCCTGTACGACTATACGGCCTATCAACCCGGATTTTGTTATCTCCAAAAATTTGGGTTGTCCATAAATTGCTTTACACCGATGATCCAGTGCCTAACATTCCCATTAAACATGATGAGCCGTCCCTGTCCCTTTGTTGCACTGCCTGAAGGCCAAGGGTTTCCTTCATATGGCCCTACTTTGTTCAGGTGTTCTCTGAATGAACAATGTCAATAGATTGTCCTGTAATTATTGCCGTATCCCTCACAGCTGGCTTAGGGCCAGCTGGAGCTGATGATATGTATCGGATGCCATTTTTCAAAAAATAAACATATTTGTGGTTATTAGTAGTAGAACGTAGTACGTTCATTTTTTAAATTTTACGGGTATACATGCCCCTGAAGTATGAAATTTTCATGTGTATACGTTGTTTACTTATCTGTAGCAGCTGCTAAGTAGACGTGTTTTTAAGAGCTCGGCTATTTTAGTGAATTGAAACAAATGATAACGAGTTTTGCGTAAAAATGAAATGAAGTGTAACAAAGTGTGTGAAATGTTAGCAAAGGCCTATGAAGAGTGTACTATGAGTAAAACAAGAGTTAACGAGTGGTTTAGGCGTTTCCAAGATGGCCGTGAAGAGGTTGAAGATGACGAACGCTACCCAGCACATAATTACCTGATGAAAACGTGGAAAAAGTTAAATAAATGGTTATGAACGATTGGCGAATAACAATCAGAGAGGTCGCTGTTGATGTTAGCATATCGATTAGCTCATACCATGAAAATTTTTCCAATGTTTTGGGTATAAAACGTGTGGCAGCAAAATTTTTTCCAAAATTTTTTGAATTTTGAATAAAAACAGTGGCGAATGGAAGTTGCTCAGGAGTCACTGAATGAAATCAACGACGATGCAGAATCACAGAACCGTGTTATAACAGGTGACGAAACATAGGTTTACGGATTACGTAAGGCTTAATCGTCCCAGTGCAGGAATTCCGGCTCGCCAAAACTGAAAAAGACTCGACAAAGGCGGTCAAATTTGAAGGTTGTGCTCACTGTGTTCCTCGATTTCAATGACATAGTCCATCAATAATTCTCACCACGAGATGAAATGGCCAATAAGGAGTACTACCTACACGTTGAACGTCGTTTACGTGAAGCAATCAGAAAAGAACGCTCATATTTGTGGAAAAACAATTCATTTTTTTTCCACCACGATAACGCACCTGTTCACACTTCATTGCTCGTGGATTGTTTGTCGCCTCCATTAGCCTCCATTACTGCCAGATTTGACTCCGTGTGACATTTTCCTCTTTCCAAAAATTGAGAGAATCCTGAAGGGCATCGTTTTACCAGCATAAATGTTATTAAAATACATCGCTGAAAGAGCTAAAAGCTATCATAAAGATCGAGTTTGGAAGAAGCGATGACACAAGCGCATAATATTTGACGGGGACTTTTTTGAATGCGATGTTTATCGTGCACGAATTGCACGTAACCTTATTTTGTCGGGCTCTTTCTTGCCGACGACCTTTTAATACCCGTACATTTGTGCACAAACTTTTTTTTTGCGACCAGTTTGTTAGCAATATTTTTTTTGTAGATTCCTCCTGTTGATTGCACGTAAAATATTGATTGTATTTTTTTTTCTTTCTATGTATTTTATTGCTTAAGAGATTCAGGTCCAATGCACTAGTTCGTAGTATCTTCAACGATCACATACGTTTCGATGTATGTGATAAGACGTAATTAACATTAAAATTATTTGAACTTTCTTGTTAGTGTCCTTAGAGGTTAATTTAAAATAGTAATTGTAGGTCTTTCACGGCTTCGTTTTTTAGTACAATGTGTTTTTGCGATAAAAACTGACCTCGTTGTAATATTGCCGCCTGTAGAGTGCACGTGTGAAAGTTTGACCATTTAGTAAGCTGTGATACACACAATACAGGTAATTGAGTTATTTATGGAATTTGCAAACAGTCACGGGGTTTGATTTCATCTTAGGAGTTTCGGTGCTCATTATACAGTTATGTCGGAAAGTAAGTTCCAAAGAAAATAATATATGAATCGATCAGACTCAATATCGACAAAAATTGTTAATTTTTAATATAGCATTGAAATTTAGTTGACCTATTTTTGAGAGGACATAACACAACTTTTCAAATTATATGCCTCATTTTTCATTATTTCTGAATGCAGAGAAATGGGAAATGCGTAGATTAAAGAGAAATGTGTTGATTTTTTTCGCAAAAATGTAATTCATATTGTATGTTGTATCCGGATCTATGTGGAATTTTTGTTACTAAAAATGAAAAAATCAACAAAGCTTTGCAAATAGTTGTGCGAAGAAAGGGTTTGTTAAATTAACGTGTTTCTGCTTTGAAGAAGCAGACGAAAACATGGTGTGTAGCCACACAATTTCGATTTTCATAAAAGTGGCATTCAGGCAATTAGTTTCTATATTTATAATTTATCATCTCTAAACTCTGACCCCTCTCAATGCCTTATTATTTTTTGAAAGATATATTTTTTGTAGGAGTCGATGTTACTGTTTTTTGGCATATTTGAATTTCCGCAAATTAAGCAGAGCTGTATCAATAAAGAATTTGCCAAAATGTAATGGAGGCCAAACTGAAAAAGTTCACCCCTCCAAAAGTTACCGTGTAATATAAACCACTGAAGAGACCAATTAGTCAGTAACTTGTATTCACAAATTGAATAATCTATAGAAAATGTTGATATTTGGACTTTTCGGTGGTTTATATTACGGGGTAACGTTTCGGGGTAAACATTTCAGTTTGCCCTTCATTACACTTCAGCTGGTTCTCTATCAATTTAGCTTTGCTTATTTTTCAGATTATGGTAGATTAAGTACCTAAAAAACGAAGTCCTTAGTGTTATGAAATATTTCATAACAATGAATAAGTCCACCTGGGGTAAATTAATTGTGCCTGTCTTAATGAAACTTTACTGGTATGAACACACAGACGCTGTACCGACAGTCTTAACATATCTCGTGACGTCACATTAGCTTTTGACATACTCTTATATTTGTAGTTCCGGTAAACGCTATCGATTAGAAATTTTTTCCATTGTATTCTAGATGACACTATCAAAATATATGAACATGCACGAAGTTAGATTTGACCCTACTGTAAACAGCTTTTTCTGATTGTGATCAACGAAGCGATTCACATTCTTGTCCAGTCACGTCTTGAAAAAATATCCAACGAAAATCTTCACGAGTGGTTTTTATTTTATCACGTACTCATTTTTTTCAAACACTCACTATCCACTAACTAGGTCAGTTTCCAAGTTGGCGCAAATAGAATTTTACCAATATCGTGATACCACGATACCACGATTTAATGGTCGTTATTAAAACACATGAGGCAACTCTAGTATAGCATTTTTTGAGTTTATAGTGATGTAAAGTAGGCTAAGAGAATAATTATAATAAGATAATTGAGCAGACAGGAAATAAATCGAAAGAATGTCGGGGGTATTGGTAATGATGTAATGGACTAATATAGGAATTTAGCCTTTTACGGCTGGCGTCAATATTTTGATTGGTTTCCGGGTTTTGCCGTGGTCTTCTTTAGTTGCAATCTCCAAACGTTTCAACTGCAACTGGGCAGTCATCTTCAGTGGCGTGTTCGAAGTACTCTTCTTGACGTTTGGAGACTGTAACCAAAGAAGTCCACAGCAAGACCCGGAAACCAACCAAAGCGATGTAATGGACTGTTTGAATAGAAATCCTCTGTAGAAAATACTTCGACAGGTAAACTTGATGGCTTGCTGTCAGAAGCTGACTGAAAAAGGCGAGTTAGTTTATTCAGCGATACTTGATGCACATTCAATGGTAAATAACTGATTGCCCTATTTGAAACATTTTGTTAAAATAATGGTGTAGAACTGACCGATACTTAATGAAAGTTTACAGAATTAGGATAGATCGTAAAAGTAGGTAAAATGGTGGCTCAGGTAAAAATTGTATTCATTATTCTCCAGTTTTATGGCTTGTTCCTAGGTAGGCAAATAGTTAAGGTGAAGAATTTATCATGTAGAAATATTTCAGGTAGTAATAGTCATGTTTCAAATTACTATAAAAGCACAGAATTTTACGTTTTGAATACATTTTGTAATTACTGAATAAACTAACTTGACTAAACCTAACCATTGAAAATATTGTTTTCTCAACAATCTCAAAAGATACAAATAATATTTGTTGACAACATAGTTGTCCGACCCCTAGTGAGCTTGGGTAAAGCAAAAAGTTTTTAATCCGCATTTGTTTCCAAAGAAGGCGTCGTAAAATAAGTACTTACGCCTGTTTCCTAATCTCAAAATCCTCACATAAATGAAAGAAATAATAGTTCGACCAAAAACTACCTGCAAAATTTTCTGACTGAACCAACAATGTCTGAACACTTCACAACAGAATATGTTGCAACAGAAAAACCAGATTTACCTGATTAAATATTGCTGAGACAGTTGATTACATCAAATTTTCTCCACATGTCCTACAACTAATCAACAGAGCTCCTTTTTACACAGTTATTCATTAAAAGTTGTACGTGTGGGGATTCGTTAAAATCAGAAGCGTGAGTGGAATTCAAGAATGCGAAAAGGCGCTTGGGGGTTCCATTTCTCGTATACCACAGAAATGCATCACACTAAAAATTGATCTTTGCGAGCGTTTCTGTTGAAGATTTTCAGTATACTGAATATCGTCTGTAATATTAAAGCCTGTATCCGCTTCATAATTTCACCACAACTTATTTCCCATCACGTAAATAATTGTTGTTTTCTTTTGTTTGATATTGAATTAGTCCAGTCAATGACTTTCTCTCGTATAATTTTGACAAACAGCACCGATTTGCACAAAAATTTGGATCTTGCTTCTGTTAACCCCCACCTTTACCGGAAGTTGATTTTACCAAGGAGTGGGTGCCATGTTTCGGGGGTGCGAAATGTTTCATGGAAATAAGTCCGGGAATGGATAAATTGACTAATTCTAAGCAACTTTTGTTCAATGGTTTTTTTTTTCTGAAAGTCATAACTTTTCGCGAGTGAAAGCGCCAATTTTTTATCCAATAAACCCATGTTTTCAGGCGGGTTTTCGCGAATAACTTGAAAAGTATTTTATTTAAAAAATAATTCTTAGTAGAAATGTAGCGTATAAAAATAAAAAGAATGCTGCTACTTCTTGCGTTACTTTTAAATGTTGACACAGTTACGCCAAACGGTAGCCGGTTTCTTAGTGGATACCACTCATGAAGCAACTGCTATTCTCTGAAAGTTGGTTCGATCCCAACTCCGTGGAGATTTATTTTTACTGTGCATCGTCAGAATAGTTCTAGTAATCGCATATCAAAAGATAAGACCTCGTTAATCGTCAGGTCGACAAGTTTCTGCTTTTGGGGTTAGCACGTATATAAAAAGGTCTCGTGAATCTTTAGTCTCGATTTTTGGGAGCTGTCGTCCCCATACTAAGACAGCTGGCAATAGAAAAAAATATAATTAATATCAAAACTTTTTTTACGTACTACACCGTGGCTAATATGTTTTTACGTAATAATGAAGTGTTGAAAACATCTCATTATAATCACTTCCTAGACGTGTCTTAAAACTGCGAATCTAATTATAATTAACTTTCATTAATATAATAAGACTCTAGAAGCCCAATACGAATAAATTATAAAAAAAAGTCGATTGATGTCGGATCAGGTGATCGTGCAAGGCTAATCCACACGATTCCAATTTTGACAAAAAATTCTGCAATCATAAAACACGTATTTCTTTGTGTCATTTCAGGGAATAGCTGATCAGTCCTTTGAGAAACTGCAGTGAAAAATATCCTCTCGCAATCAAATATAATCCAATACCCACGCACTGGGGAATCTCTTCTGCCCACACACAACTATTTCGGGAATTGTATATAAATCATATTGATGAAAATTTTATGTTTACGCTGAAACAATACAGCAAATTCCACCCCTCTCGGGGTTGCCGGGTGTTGTTCATTTCAATGGGAGGAGTAATTGGAACACGCGACACCTAAACTGTATGCTATGCCACGATCGGGTTGGCTAATTAAGGTTGATTGTGCTCAAAACAAACATAAAGTGAGGATGATGTACCAGGGAGGGACAAACAGATATAATAAGGTCAATTCGAATGACATAGAAACAAAATAGTTCCTGAACGTCGGCAGTTTCTTTGTATGGCATAGGCGGCGTGGTATGATTATACCACGAAACAGAGAAGCTGCTGACGTTCGGTAACTAGTTTTTATGCCATTCGAATTGACTTCGTACACACTATACCGTACTAGTGAGCCGCCCCGGCTTCGCATGGGCACCATCATATTTCAACCAATTTACACCAAACATTGATGAATTATACACATGAACCTTTCTGTTAGATCATCCGTCCGTTTCTGAAAACTGTATGGAAAATCCGTTCCAGTTTTTTTAGTTTATCGCGTTCATACAGGCAAACAACCGCGGCGGGGAAATTTGTTCTATAATATGTAGTGATTAGTGGGAGGGAATTTTGAATTGCGATCGATCACTGTATCCAAGTTTTTATGCACACATTCCACATGCATTTCTTATAGGCCAAAAATTTCGTCCACAATGTTTATAAGAAAAATTCTTACCTTTATTGTTCATGATACGGCAAAATGTATCTCGAAAAGGTTGTTGAGGACAGGGATTTGTGGCCCTCTATACAAATTTTCAGGAAAATTTAGCTTTATTTTAAGAATAAACCAAATAAATCGTTATTTTCTATGACTATTAAAAAAAACGTCTATTTGACCATACCTTATTAAATTAGTGAACCAAGGCCAATCGCAGATGAACAGATTCATTTCTTTACAGTCCTGCTTGAATTAGTTTGACTCTCAAGTAAGCCTTGCGAATTTACTTCATAATTATTCTCAAACCTCATACTTAGGTATTCATTGAACTGGCAGGTAGTTTAAAAAACATAGTTTCATTAAAGTGAAAACGAGTGTACCCCAACAGAAAGTTGTAATGTGGTGAAAGAAACAGTTTTATGTCACAACAAGCCTCGTTAAGTGGCGGTGAAACTCTATGCTTGTAAACCAATACAATCATTGAATTGTATATCAAACATCTAATATATATTCACAAAAACATTAAGCCGGCAGGTTCACTGTTATATGATGGGGTTGTAACAAGGGGAGTTTCGAAAAAAATATACATGTGCCATCTTTGAATTTTCAAATGACAATGTGTAACTTCTATCTTCGATAAACATTTTATAATTGTATGAATACTCGAATAACTAACCATACATGAACTCTTTTAAATAAGCAATTATTTCGTGGATTATTGAGAATACAAACCATTTGAAGAATGTGCTGTATCAAACAATGAATTGAACAAACCCCATTTCATCTATATCCCTATTAGTTTAATTGAATGCCCTTCTCATTTCGTAATATAATTGTTTATAGTTCATTTTAGTTTACTGCATATCCTGTAACATTTATTATTTGTTAGGATACACTTCCATTTATATAGAGAAAGAAGTTGTATTATATATCCACTGTAATGAAATCTTTATTTGATCCGTGAAACTAAGTTAGAAATAAGTTGAGTCTACACATGTGCTTTCTCTGTAGCATCTCAATTTATTGTTACCTTGCTATACTATATACAGGTTTAAGATGTATACAATTATATTCTTGAAAATTATATCATCATGTATTTGTGTACTGTGTTTTGGGGTACAATAAATTCTATTCTATTTTGTGTAACAACAGTAAATGATATTACTTTTTATATTGGCGAATATACAAATTTTGTTTGAAATTATTTGAAATAACTCTAACGTTCGAAATAGTCATCAAACAATATTTTATTGTTTTACAGGATACAGATGATGTCCCGATGGTGTTGGTTGGAAATAAATGTGATTTGGAAGATGAAAGAGTTGTAGGTAAAGAACAGGGACAAAGTCTTTCACGCCAGTTCAACTGTGCCTTTATGGAGAGTTCTGCCAAAGCAAAAACTATGGTTTACGAAGTAAGTATTGAAGTTTTGTTGTTAAGCATTCCCTATTTCTTTGAGTACAAGTATATCTCGACTAACAGGGTTTATTTTCATATGATATTTACCATCCCATTTGGAAATTAGCCTTTGTTTCCTATATATCATTGTCTGTATGCTCATTCATAATTCATATTTGAAATTACCATTAAATTTTCAGGCGTTATTATTTCGAAGGACAACTTTTGTTTATCGAATGTGTACAGTGAGTCACAATAGACCTCCTTTCTCTTTCTAAGAGCTCATCTGGGAGATTATCCCCAGTTTTTAAAATTCTAATATATGATACCTCATAGGGGTTCAAAATGTTGTTGTTATAATTTGCCTGACCACTGTATTGCAACTTTTCTATAAATTTGTTGTTTCATATCACAGTTTGCTGTGATTACAATCGATTACAGTCCGTGATATGCGTGCCATGGGAAACTTCTGTCATGGAATATCAATAACCTTGTTTACAGTATCTACTTTTTTTTGGAATCACATTCGATTTTGGTTACGCTTCACGAGATTCTAACTGATGAACATACAATCACGACAAAACTCTGCAACCTAAATGTGCCTTTTCTAATCATGATTCATTAATAAGAGTTGAAAGAAGTGATTCTATAAATTCTGCTTGATTTAGGTGTTTTTCAAAATCGAAAAAAAATTACCCAACCAAAAGCTTCACTAGTGATTTTTTCATACACTCACTTTTTTTCAAACTCTCACTATCAGTTTCAAACTTGCCGCTGATTCTAGTATAATGAGAGGAGATTTCACAGTTAATGGATGCCATATTTCAGACATGCCACCTTAAGTTTTTTTTAAAAACAACTCTTACAAAACATATGAAATAAAAATTAGAAGTTTCTCAAAAAGTTTTATTGATAATATCCAGATTATTAGAAAGTCCGTAAGAAATTTCAACAGTAAAGTACCTTAAAGTATTGATGATTAAACGTTTCTGATTTTCAGATATTCTATGACCTAGTTCGACAAATCAATAAGAAAACTCCGGACAAGGATCACAAGAACAAGAAGGGGACGGTCAAGTGTGTGCTTCTGTAATTAAAATAATATCCCATGGAACCAAAAAGTACATTCAAAGATTTAAAGACTATACGTAGTGTAAAAGAAGGCAAGTGCAGACTAAGGGTCTCTTGCAGTGAAGTTTTTTAAAACTCTGTATATCATCATTTAACTTTACTTTAGATATTTGTAATAAATAAAGTTGTCAGTTAATTTTTCCACAATCAAGGTTGTTATTATATCTAGATGCAATTTAGTGATAGAGTATTTTGAAATACTGCCAATCATGTGGTGTCAAATAGAAATAGAAATTTTGTGAATTAGTGGTATTTGCTACTTCTGATTCAAGACTATCTACAGGACAATACTTCACCAAGCATAAAACCATATTTCTAAGATTCATGCCTATGTGAAAGAGGACGTCTGATGTCTGCCATCTCTGGATCTGAAAACAAACTACGTCTCCGTTATTTGAGTCTTGGTATGTCTACCAAAATAAACTTTTTTTCTTTAACCATATATGGATGTAGTAACTTGTGGTGAGATGTGATAATAATCCTATGGTGCTTTTCTAGTAGATAGTGATGTCCTTGGGAATGAGTATTCCATTCTCAGAAAGGTGCACCGTTTCGAATCACCTAGTAATTTTACTTTTAAATTTTGACTATTCACACACCATCAAATATGTCTTCTTACGACCAAACACGTTTCCGAATCTATTGTAATGTCAAAATAGTGTTAAGGATATTAAACGTCTCTTATATAAATTAATGTGCGATGTATCTTTGAATTTTAAATATAATTGTTGCACTTTATGAATATTTCCTATATTTATCTTTTAGCAGTATTTATTTTAATAAATAGTAAAATAATTAGACTTGGCTTCTTTATCCCCAAAGGCTCAAAAATACTGCAAAGTTTGCAAAAAAAATTGTTTTTATTTCGAAACTGTATTGAATAACAAATGAGTGAACCGAATATAGATGATATAATTGTGTAAGACAACACTGCAGTGGGCTGGAAATCATTTTTGGGTATCCCCCAGATACATGATACATCAAACATTTCAGAATGTTGATAGTTGAAAACTAAGGAACTCGAAAACTAAAAGTTGAAAACTAACCTTAACAGCTAAGAGTATTTATGAGGACTAACATATTCTCAGTGATGATAATGAATGTGATAAAATATAGGTAGAAATTTCAATTTAAGATAGATAATTTATCTTTAAGATTTATTTAAGACAAATCAGAATAGCTGAAATTAATTTTGTTTCCATTTGAAACAATTCCTGATACAAGAGAAATCCGTTTTTCCCTTAACCAGCTGTCGCACCCTTACGAACGATAACCCTCAGAAGTCTAAACGTGTGCGAGCTAAGGACTAACGAGGTCTTACCTTTTAACGTGTGATTCCTAACACTTTCCATAATTGCATCTGTGGTATTCAATGGAATGGTGAATATCTGTTTCTTACGTGTTTGTCGAGGAGGAACAAATTCTAGCCAGTTTTTGTTCATATTGTACACAAAATTGTATTTCTCTACATAGCAATGAAATGTCATGGCTTTGCATCTCGAAACGTTAGCGTCCACGTAATATTGTAATGAATGTGGTTATATGTCTGGGAAGTAAAGTTTCTGTATTATTGAGAGTACCTAGTGAGCCTACTGCAGTATTTCAACTTTGGTGGCGTTAGCAGAAAATGCTAGTGATTTTGCAGAGTTAGATACTGAAACTTTCAATAGTCGCTATTTCCCTAAGTAGTGAATCATTTCAGTCAATATAAATTCAGATGTTGCATTTTTAAATTGTATACATGTTTCTTTTCATAAGATTCAGTATTAGTAAATATTGATAGCAGGTATTATCATATTCAAATAACACTTTATTATGAGATTTTCACTTGACAGTTTGCAAAACCATGAAATGTGTTTTACTACACAGTAACTTCATAGGGTGTATTCAATACTAACAATTTCTACATCCTGCTTTTATAAATTATAGTCAAATTCTGAATGACTGATATTACACCTGACAAATTTCCACCTAATATTTACCATTCTAGGACAAAGGCATTAAACTATACATTAATGAATACAAAAACTACCTGCGATCTTATATTTCCACAATTAAGATCTACCCTGATTACCAAATTCACCATTACAAAACAAGTTTAACAAAGAAGAGTTATTCAAATTTATTTGGTTATTAAGCAATAGTTCAACTCTTGATTCTATTGATTTCTAAGCATTTTAAAAGATGAGTTGAAACTTATCTCCTACAAATGTAATAGATCATAATCCTGAACTCATATCTATATAAAAAAATGGTTTGCAAATGTTGATTATGGTCTTCTCCTTCAAAAAACTTCTTTTTTTATACTTTTGAAGAAAAATCTCCCAGTTATGTCAAAATAAATTGTGGAACAAGAACTACTAGTCATCTTATATACTCCCAGTCTATTTGACACTGAAGTGTTGTTTTTGATGAATTTGTTCAAACTATTGTACAAATCTTTGTTTTTCAGAATACAAGCAATATGGTTTAGTAGGTTCACCAGCATAAGATTAATGTCACATAATGCTTACTATGGTTATTTGAAATTGGCTCTAAGCTTATTTCTGTAGTTTTTTGAAAAAAAAATTGAGTCAGCTATTTACTGAGAGTGGAGTATCAACAGTCTGAAGCATAATATTGAATAATAATACTTTATGCTGATATAGATCTGCCGATGGCTTGTGGGTCTTGTATCAAAATGTATATTGGTCAAACTGGGAGATTTTTACCAAAAGAATAAAAACAAATGTGTTTTTTTTAATGAGAAGGTCAATTCAACATTTGCAAACTACCTTTCGATAGAGGGGCATAAGTTCAATCATGATTACGACATATTACATTTGACAAAATGGGAAGTGCCTGGGTGGCTTATCAGTGTCCAATCACTGCCTTGAACTTTTCCTGTAGTCCTAGAGGATTCACTTTTCATCACACGTGACGATCCCATCAAGAAAAGGCTTGCAAAAGCAAAGAACAGAACTCGAAATGTAACAATTTTTGTCGATCATGCAAATGGAGGGACAAACACTTTTTGAGCTTTTTGACCTTTCCAATACTTTCAAACCAAAACCGCGTGGGAGCTGACGGCCAGATTTGCCACCATCCCGCGCACCGTTTGTGATGGGTCAGTCTCCACCAGTGACCTCAAATCCGCGTCCTGGATTACTGTAAGTTGATCACTCATCTTCGAGGCTAAAATCTCCGGAACGAAATTTTGCAAACCAACGTTAAAACATTGTGTTCATCAACACTATCATTGCCAAATGCCTGGTTAATTTTTTCGGGCTGTTTCGGCAGCGCTTTGGTTAAATTTGAATTTCAAGAGTAGGATTTTCAAGTAGCAAGGTACATTTTGATGCTCAATGCTCACGTTCGTGAGCATTGAGCATTATATTGAATAATGTAGTTGATAAACTATGTTCAATTTATGACTGCTCCATAATTACACGAAGATGTAAATATTTTCACAGGATTTAAATATTGCAGGTAAGAATTATGAAGTCATACATCATGCAAAATAGCACTAATTAAAATATATTGAGAAGATATTTCCTCAGAGATTTAGCCAATGAACTAATTTTGAACGTGCTTGTATTGCTGAGCTTCCCAGTAATTGGAAAAATATATTAGTAGGATTTGCAAAATTCCGATGATGAAAACACCCAATTCGAAAAAATAAATGGAAAATAATATTTCTGCGGATTGAAAAAGAATCGTAAAACTAGATTTTCTTACCACATGCCCATCTTGCAATACGAATGTAGATATAATAAGGATGATAAAACTTTTGAAGTTTTTACTTCTTATTCTGACTGTACATTCATTAGGCATGCTGTGAAAGGTGTCTTTTTTTCCCTTCAAGATGTAAAAGGTAATCCTGCGGATTTTTGGATATTGTTTGTTTGATGTATGGAAGGGAGTTCTCTTGGTGGTTGACCGAAGAAATGTCCGGATCCAGAAACTGTATCACAAGGTGAGTGGAAATATCGACTCGGATAGCATTTGAGTGATCAGATTCGATTTCAAATTTATTTATGACGTTTTCTGCAGTAACGAAAGTTTCTAAAAAGTAGTCAATCAAATCCGATTCAGTTATGTGGTTATCTAAGTCACTAAATAAGTCAGTTTTCTTCTCAGTGACTGCTGCCTTTATTTTAGCATCAAACATTACAATTCGAGGTTTTAGAGCAGAGGTAGTATTAGTACTGTTATTTGATACTTTCTGAGGGTTCTTCAAGATTTGACGATTACTTTTTTTGGAGATAGTAGTCTAGGCAGATTACTTTGGATTTGCTTAGAGTTTATTGAGGTAGGTTGCAGTTGGATTGATAACAAGAGTTGACTTAGTCACTTGAGTAGAAGTGGGTTGAATAGACTGCTCGAGGTCTTCATATAGCAATTTTACCATGTCGATGTTGCTATCCTTCAAAGTATAGATATTTTGGGTCGTTTGACGTGTACTGCTATAGTTTCATTAACTGCTATCAAGTTTCCTTCATCAAAATTGTGAACTTCTGTCGAAATATGTTGATATCGAAGTCATTTTAGTAATGGGCGTCAGAAATAGTAATAGTAACAGTAATGAAGGATATCCTTCATTATATCCTTCACGTATAATATTATACGTCTTTTGAAATTTACTACTTTCATTTTGGAAGATGTGAGTGGCGCGTTTTTGACACAGCCGTTTGACAGAAATCACATACAGCAATTTTATCATCTTTATAAAACTTTCCGCAATCCATTTTGGAGTTTCAGCAAGAGTCAAATTTACATACAGTTCAGAGTTCTCAAAAGTCAAGCAAAAAGGAAGACTTGGCAACGACGCACTCAGGAGCACATTGTTCGGCGTCAATTGAGGCTATATTTAATCAACTCAATCCTTCAAAATACACTCCTATGAAGTAGGTACCAAAAGCTATGATGAATCTTCCTCTATTACAACTATTTTTTCATTCTATATATACACTATTTACATTTCTCAAAGTTTTGTAAATAAGACTCATCTTAGACAATAAAGCACATGTAAGTCATATTTTTCATTTGTTTTTCAACTGAAAACCTGAGTCGTGCATGAATGTTTCTAATGAAGTGTTACGAATCACACGTTAAAAGGTAAGACCTCGTTAGTCCTTAGCTCGCACAAGTTTTTCAACTTCTGAGAGTTGTCATTGGTATGGGGGCGACAGCTGATTAACGGAAAAACAGATAGACAGATTTTGAACAGACAGAAGTTCAGTTGTCCAAGTGCTTACAACTTGTTACTCACGAAGCTGTAATATGAAAAGATCCACCTCAATTAAATCATTTATAATGTACGGAATGTTTGTTGTTTACGTTAATAATTTCCAAAAGTACTTTCGCAAGGAGTTTCATACCTTCATGAAAACTTGTTTCTTATTTCATCTAGTGATTTGCCGTTGCTCTAAAGTGTTCCAGAAAGAGAGAATGGTTTTCTTTCAGCACAGAATAATCTCAAATGTAAAAGATTTTTGTAAATATCGCTTTGTAAAAATTGGCAATGTATAAGAACCATATGTAGGTACCACATAAAACGATAAGGTAGTCTGCTGATTTATCTCAAGTAGTAGAAAAATTTGAATGTTCAAGGTTATGAGGTTTTTCATTTTCCCGTGCTTTCACTGGTTCCTTTTTGCCAGTGGGTTCGAATTCGAAAACTAGAATAAATGTATAAACATGCGAAAGGCGATATTAAGACAATGATTCCATGCGTTTATATGTACATGTTGCCATCTACAGTGGTGAATTCATACTACTATTCACTTGCCAATCATTTTACCACTTCCATGTAGTGAACTCTAATACACAATGCTAATACCATAATCTGTTTCTATACCATTTATACAAAGTCTAAACTACCAGGAAACATTTCACTGCTTCCAGGAGACTGTTATTTATCTTTTGTTCGTCTTCTTTTCTTTACTATTTTTTGTGTGTCTCGCGACAGTTGCAACTTAGCTCCCGTGTTATTGAAGACAGCCATATTTATAATGGCACTACTTTATTCAAAAATGTGTCTGGAATTGAGCATTTTTAAAACTAGAAAGTTTTAAATATATTGTGCTGACTGGAACAATTTACAAAACAAGACAATATCAAAATCATGTAATGCAGCTTAAATTTTGCATTAAAAATGTTAATAATTTTTTTTTAATAACTTTTTCATATTTTGAAAAATAATCTGACTTTCGGAATTATTTCAGAGAAAAATCGAAATTTAACAGATAATGCGAATCCTGCATGGATTTATTTTTCATTTCGATTTAGCAAATATTGATGCCAAAGTCAAAGTTTGAATAAAGCTATTAATAAAAACAATTCCAATAGCATGCGGACTTAACTGGTTATAATATCTAGCAGATGTCAATTCAAATGTAGAAATGAAACATTTTGGTATTTTTTAGGTGAATATCGTTTCATCGGTTCCGTATTCTTATCATTTTTCGCTTTCACTGGTTCATTCCTCGGTGGAAGAATTTTCTGTCACTGAAAAGTGTTTTATTTGGTTTTAGAGAGAAGGTTAATTAAAACTACTCTATTACTTCAAGTCTAGATAGCAACTTTTCTATTGATTTTTTTAATACCTACTGGCATTTCATTACAACTGTCTCACAAGAAAGCTCTAAAATATACACCTCTTTCTGAATATGTTCTCAGAAGAGTCTGTTTATAAAATTAATACTGTTTTATTTGGTTTTAGAGAGAAGGTTAATTAAAACTTCCCTATTACTTCAAGTCTAGATAGCAACTTTTCTATTCTTTTCTATTGATTTTTTTAAATACCTACTGGCATTTTATTACAAAAAGCACTCCAAAAAGCTTTTAAACGATGATACATTGAGATTGGCCGTCGAAGTGAGGATTCAAAACCTTAACTAACACTCATAAACCCTATTCCATGCGTTGATAACTCTATCAACTTAGAGGTTGATAGTTAGTTCGATGCTTGCTAATGGGCTGTTTTCGTTCTTATGGGTGGATTTGGGAATTTCTGTAATAGAAAATTTATAGTGCAACAAAAATATTTTCGGGAAATGCAGGAAATGTATATGAACCGGCATCAGACCAAATACTAACAATAATACAATGGAATCTCCGGTTATATCAAAATAACTGATGAAATGGAAATACCATATTAGTTTTAGTTTAAAAAAAACTTGAGATTTCGAAAAATAAAACTCAAGTTTCCGTGAAAAAAATATGAAAATTGACTATGACCCTTCTAAGGCTTCATAGATTTTCATAGCTCCTTCACTTGTACTTCTTGTGAACTGGTACATGAAGGAGTGGCAAAAAATATTCGAAACTAACAGTAGAAGTCACCTAACTACCACCCTATCTCTATGATCAGTAACATATGAAAATTTTTCTAAATATCAAGAGTTCCTGAGTGATAAACTATCAATTTTTGAATTATGCTCTGCAAAATCCTTCAAGTATATTATATGTCATCTTGTTTTTATATCACTCTTGGGCTCTTCTTTAAAACTTTTTTAAATTTATTTTTTCAAGGACAAAACACAATCACTACAGGAAAATCCTTCAGGCGCTCTGACATCGGTGTCTGTGCGAAAGTAGCGATTCCCATTGGATTTGATTCGCTGGAGATCAAATCCATTTGAAAAAACGTTATCAGGAAGTTAATTCCACAAAAACGCAGTTCTTTACATGAAATAGTTCTTAATCAGACGTTTGAGGTCGTAATCAGACGTTTGAGGTGTACTGAATTGAATCTCAAAACGATGAGCAGCCACAGTCCGTCGTGTATTTCTGATGGTGGAATCAAATGTGCTAAGTATAGTATAGTGAGTAGTAGTATAGAGTTCACTGGTATCCGATATGTTCTATTTTATCAGATCGTTCATGCTTATCCGATTATTTACATTTTTGTTGCGAATCGCGAAATAATTAACGCACTTAGCGTACTTGTGCCGCAAATTTCAGGCGAATAGTTTATTTTGTGTTGCCAGGGTACAGCTGTCATTTTTTATCAATAATAAAAAATCACTACTCAAAATTGGTTTTGTTTTGTTTACAAAAAGGAACACATATTGAATGAATAGGGCTTGTAGGCGAAAATTAAAAAAAAAATTACAGGAAAAATGATTGAGCATGTCTACTTAAAAGTTATAGCAATACTTTTCTCTAGGCGCGTTTCACCAACCAAGTTGGGCATTTTCAGGAGCTGAAGAAAACTCTCCTAATCTCCTGAAGACACCAATTTGGTTGGTGAAACGCTCGTCGAAAAGAATATTGCATTTCTGGTGGATTTATTTTACGCCAGATGTTGCAGTTTCACCTTTTATAAAATATTATACGATCATGAGTTCTGTGGACTAAAAGCGTTCAAATTGTTTTCAATTCAATTTTTATCCTCACTCGTGAATGTTAATGAAATTCTCGGATAAGTTAGCTGCGTGCGTGAAGGTGATTTTATGTTATTTTTGTGTGACATAACAATTCGAGAAGTTGGTGACTACATTGATTTTGAAGATAATGGACCAATGACCATTTTGGAGTTGACTTTCAGTCATGCCACCTATTAGATAATTTTGAAGGAGTGTCTTCAATACGGGTAATTGGTAGTTGGTAACAGCTGTAAAGTGAGACCAATTTACTTCGTTTTTAACCTTCATTTCATTTTCTTTGAATTAACAACTTGTTCATTGTTTGTAAACAGTGCTGTGATAGAATTGTTTGAGAAAAAACAATTCGTTTTTTAATTTAGGATTTTAGAGAATGGCGCAAGTTGAAAAACAGAGCGAAGATCTCACCACAGACGCCCTTCCCGCTCCCAATCGTTCAGTGGCTAAGGAAAATACCAACAATGAGAACGTACGTGAAGATAATGGAGATGACAAAATTCCACTACCAGATGAGACGCAGTGCAATAGCGCTGGTCGCTCAGACAAAGAAAATACAGGCGTCGAAAATGTAAATGAAGATGGTGAAGAGAAAATTCCACAATTAGATGATGAAACACAGTTCTCTCACACTTACACCAGTTCCGCTGGAACTAGCAGAACGGCTTTCAGGAAAATTAATCCGTCTTCAGGTAGCTCATTTTTTAAATTAACTCTCATATAGTTGATCATTCCAAATGAACATTAACTGTATTTTTTTCAAAAAGTTACAAATTGTTAATAAGTATATAAATTGTGTAAAAAGCTTATACACCTATATAATGTGAGAAATAAAAAGTAGAAAACTCTCGAAGAAAGGTAAAAGAAATATTGATGAAATATTTTAATATGAATGTGCAGATCATGCACAGAAGTTTTTCTTTTAGATACACACTGAAAACAACTACTTACATATATGAACACCGAAATCACTTAGTCTTATTCCATTTCATTTGTAAAGGAATTGAAACTTATGATAGAACTGACCAATACTTGATGAAAATTCATTATAACGTAATCAAAAAAACACACTTCGATGTAAGATTTCCACTTGAAAGTTTACAAAACCGAGACATGTATTTTGCTACACTAAAGCATCTTCGGGCATAATAATACAGCACACCAATACAGTATTATGACGCCCAAAGATGCTATTGTTCAGTGTCACAATACAGTATTGTGAAGCCTGAAGATACCATTGTATACCGAAATGTGTCGCAATGTTGTAAATTTTCAAGTGGAAGAAATCTCACATTAAAGGGTGTTTCTTGAATACTTATTGAAACCTGACATAACGATGGTTTCAGACACTTGAAAGCGTGCTCTTTCACGTGAACTTCCTGAAAGTTGTAAAAAAAATGTTTACATCTTCATTTGGTAATTATATATTCAGAACCATTTGCTGAAATAAGGTACAGGTACAACAGATTCTTCAAGTTCTAAGATGCTGATGCGAGAACTATTTAGTTGTGTATCATTCAAATTCTCCTCAAACTCTGCATACTCCGTTTTACACTTTTCTGATGTAATATTTGAACCAGATCTTGCAGAAGATTTATCTACATTACATACTGCATCGTATATTCCATTAACAGCTTTAAACTTTTTATTCAAAACCTCTTGATTCTTTTTGAAATCGTCACTTTCGTTCATTTTAATGAAATACCTAAGTAGAATTAATAAAAATTAATAATTCATAATGAAATTCTCACGGAAATTAGAAAACTGAAAGGGTATATTTGTGGTGATAAGACAGAAGCCCCATTAACCAAAAAATTACTCTAGAAAAGGTTTACTTTAATCAGCTGCATTGTAGCGTAATCACATACTCGATAACTGAAGCAACTGTCACACTAGAACGAGAATGAAGGAATTACGTCACAGATACCCAGACCAATGATATCAAGACCTTACACCCCACTGAAGGCATGTACATAGTAGTAGTACACCGTAAATTATGTACCTTTTTTCGGCGAACACCACAACCAAAATTTACCTTACAGTTTTTTATTTGTGAAAACAATTATTTGTGTGTTATACAATAATTGAAATCGCAGAAACTTTTCAATAAACTGTCAAACTATAGTAATAAATCATCAATTAGTTTTGAAATCTAAGAAATTGCCGACTACTCACATTTGCATAGATGTCTATTTGATGTACTGAGTAGAAGCTATCATCTGAAAAAGTGCTCTCGCTAATTAAAGACAACTGTTTTGTCTTTCTTTGCCATTTGTGAAAGAAAAGGATGCTATATAAAAGTTTGTGTTTTATTGCAAATTTTATTGATAATGCATATGTATTCATTTGTCAACCCAACTATATAAAATAGTATAATAATTGCAAATGATACTTTTAAAGCACTTAAAATGTGAAGTTTCTCTCTTAGATCTGTAGAGGAATTATCTCTTTCTTCATTAAAAACATATATTGCTCAATTGTTAGATCAATAATCGAATACAACTTCACAATTTGATGCCTTTATAATAATATAATAATAATAATAGCCGGACAGATGCAGAAGGCTGTCATTCTTGGCTCACTGTGCTTGCTCAGGGCACATGATTCTCGGACCCAATGATCACTTACTCCACGGTGTGGGAGGTGGTCGTTGGTTGATAATGCTGGCGCGCCTTCCCGAATGTATCGAGGCTTTGGAGGATAGGGCCTGACCAGCGCAAACTACGAGTGAAAAAAAAATCTTTATTTCAACTAGGCATCCTAATATACAAAAACATTTTGAAAATAGGATGGCCAAAGTCACAGTCCAACTTCATAACAATAAAATATGTATGCTTGGATAATTCCGAGCATACATATTTTATTGTTATGAATAGAAAAAATAACAACTCAGTCCAGTAGATGCCAACTTATTCACTGAACAGTTTGAATGACGAGCTCTAGAACATTCGCCGGTCTGACCCTACTGCTGGCTACGATATGTTGATGATACCTTCGTGGTTTAGAATCACGGGGAAGAGGAATTGGCAAAGTTTCTGGGATATTTGAATTCTTGGAACCCATAAATCTGGTTCATAATGGAGAAAGAAGAGGAAGGGAGAATTGCTTTTCTGGATGTATTAGTGAAAAGACGAGGTAATGGCATGAAGTATACAGAAAACTAACCCTTACGAACCGATACTGGAATAAGTATTCCAATCATCATCCGTGACAGAAAAGAGGGGTTTTTGAGACTCTGGTAGAGAGGGCAAGATATATCTGTGAACCAGTAGAGCTACAAGAGGAAATATATCATTCGAAGAATTCGTTTCTGGGTAATGGATATAACGAAGCCGAAATCATCTGAGCCTTTTGTCTTATAGAGAAAAACTCCATGGTGACACTGGAGCGAACGGCCAGTGGAAGAACTTCTCTGCCCGACATAAGCGGTGTGACAGACTGTATTGGAAGGATTCTTGAAAAAAATGCAGTTAGGGCCATTTTCAAGCCCACAACCAGATAGAGGATAGTCTCAGGTCAGCAAAAGATCTCAGGAATCCATTAAGTACCCCAGGAGTATACCGAATACCGTATAGTTGTGGTACATTCTACATTGGAGCCACGAAAAGAAGCGTTAAAACGCGCTTGACTCAGCATAAAAGAAGTTGCCGCTGTGGCCAAACAGTTGAATCGGCAGTTGCAGAACACGCTCTTTCAGAGGTCAGCCATGACATTGTTTTCGAACGTATGTGACTTCTTGATACAACTAAAATGTTCTATCCGAGGCTATTCAGAGAGACCATAGAAATACATAAACACGAGGAAGAAATGTAAGAGAGCTTGAACATTAAAAAGATATGGATACCTGCACTTCACAACACAAAGATTCTCCCAATAATTTAAGGACCAATCAGGTACAAGAGCAGACGGCCGTACGACACCTAGTCCCTAGTCCGCAGGACCATCTTCATTTTGCGCATCACAGCAAGGTGAATCACATCTAGCGTTGCCGCATCGCTTTTGATCATGTCTACCGCAGTAGCAGACGAAACGTCAGGTATAAAATACTAAACACCACGCCCAAAAAACCCGGAAAAATCGTACAAAAATNTGATATAACGACTCATAACAATACACAAAAAAAAAAGAAAATATTATCAAAAGAATCAAGGATGTCAAAAAACTGAAAGAGAAACATTTTGTCCATGGTGGTTTCAGTTTAAAACTCTTGATTTCATAACTCAAGGTGGGGATGAATTCCTCAAAACTATTTCGTGATATAAAAGTAGTACACGAATATACACATACGCCCACTAATTTGTATGAAACAGTAATGGAAAATCAAATGCGCCATTTTATTGATAGTTACAATATTATGTCACATAAACAGTCTGGTTTTAGAAAGGTTATAGTTGTCCAACAGCATTATTAGAGATTGTAGTTGACATAGTTAATACTATAGGTAAAAATGAAGCCACCACTTTAATTCTATTGGATAATTCAAAAGTATTTGACATCATTACTCATAAAAGACTCTGTACAATTTGTTTGGGTTTAGTAATGCATCAGTAATGTTGATATCATCTTATCTAGATAATAGATTACAAACAGTTCAGATTCATGATATTTCTTCCACTTGGAGAGAAGATAAAACAGGAGTATCCTAAAGCAGCATTTTAGGACCACTTTTCTATATACTCTATACTACCACATTTATCAAGAAGATGAAGTCTTGTAAATATCAACTTTATGCAGATGACTCTCAAATATATTTATCTTTCTAATTTTCAGATATAGGTCAAGGAGTAACCGATATAAATTTTGATCTAAAACGATTTTTAAAATGTTCACTGACCATATGTTGAAAGTCAAACCAAACAAATCAGTAGCTATTATCTTTGAAAGTGATTGCATCAAGGAAGAAGTAAAAAACTACAGCTTGAAAACGGAAAACCTTGAGATACAATTTAGGCCGTATACAAACAATTTGGGGTTGATTTTAGATCATAAACCTAGATTTATGAACATGTAACCTAAAAACTCAAAATTGCTTATTCATCACTGAAACTCATATATCCCCATAGACAATATTTGGATGTATATGTCAAAAGAATGCTATGTGATTCATTAGTTTTTTCTCATTTTAACCACTGTAACGTTTATAATTGATTAGACAACAACGACAGGTGTCACAGTGGTTGAATATGTTTAATCAGAGACGTTTTGATGCAACATGCATATTCCTTAAAATCATCAAATGTAGGAGTCCTCTCTAATTGTATGAGTATTTGTCCTGAATTTGTGTAAAACAGTAGTGTTGAACATTCCTGTACATAAAAAGGAAATATTTACAAGATCTTTTCTATACTTTCTATTCTACAATAAATTATATTCATAAATAGACAAACAATTGTTTTAACATGTTCAAACATACTTTTATGTTTGAACATTATATGTTTAGCATTCAGAATAACTAGGTTCGCGGCGAGAATCTTGAAAACAGTATTCATATATTATCTCTATATCACAATCTATATGTCTATATCTTTTCTTCTTTCCTTCTCTTCAAGCCCTTATATAATATTTCATTTACATACATTTTCGGCATTGACGGAAGAGCAGATGCGAATGCAAATTCGCGGTCTGAACCAAAAGCCATCTGCACATCAAATACAAAGTGTTTTTTTTTCTCTCTCTTGTAATTTCCTTTTTG